TTGGTGCATGTGATCAACTGGGGAGTGAGGGGATGATTTGGGAGGTTTTGATTTACTGAGGGAAAACCTGGACCTCTCAGATTTGGGTTTTCCAGTTTACCTATTCTAGTAAATAGAACTTTGAAAAATGCTTGCTTCAGAGTTTTTACTTGGAGTTGGGGTTTTTTCTGGAACGCTGACATATGGGTTGTCTATCACTAAGTGTTGTATCTTAGATTCTTGATGAATGTATTTTTTTCCTCTTTTTTCTTTTTTCCCCCTTTTATGTACACTGAGAGCATATAAACCAAGACAAATTCCTTGTGTGTTCAATTACACTTGGCCAATAAAGAATTCTATTCTATTCTGTTCTGTTCTGTTCTGTTCAGAACAGACTGAGGGAAGGATGGTAGGCAGGAATATTCCCCTCCCCATTTTCCTGCCATTCGCGACAAGGAGTGGCTGGGAGGGGAGGGGCCGGTGAGGAGCCCCTCATTGTGAGTGATGTCAAGTTGGCCATGCCCACTCAGTCACATGACCTCCCCCCAACAGGCCACACCCACAGAACCGGTAGGGGAAATTTTTTTAATTCAGACTGAGCTGTCTGCCAGGAATATAAATCCTTCCATTCACCTCCATCCAGTCAGAGCTGAAGAAGCTTCTTGGATAAGAAGCAAAACATCTTCAAAGAAAAAACAAAGAACCTCCAGTTGTCCCCTGAAAAAGCACCTTTGGGACAACCATGACCTGGATGACTGAGAATCTCCATAGACTCTGGGGGATATCCATTCAAGACAGACCATGCTATAGTAAGAAGAAAAACCCTTTGGGCTATTATCTGTTCACATTATTGTAATAATCTTAGAGAAAAGGTAAAGGTTTCTTCTGTCAAGTCGTGTCTGACTTTAGGGGGTGGTACTCATCTCTGTTTCCTAGCTGAGGAAGACAGCATTGTCCAAAGATGCCTACATTGTCATGGGGCCACCAGGACGAAATGCTGAGAATGCTGTTACCTTCCCACCAAAGTGGTACCTATTTATCTACTGGTGTTTCTCCGAAAATAAGACCCTGTCTTATATTTTTTTTAACCCCGAAATAAGCGCTTGGCCTTATTTTCAGGGAGGTCTTATTATTTTGGGGTGCAAGGAGCAAGATGGGGCTCCTCTTGCCGTCTTACCTGATTTCCAGCTCTGCGTTTAAATATTTTTGGGGAGGGCTTATTTTTGGGGGGGGAGGCTTATTTTAGCGTATGCGTTCAAAAGCCCGATTGGGCTTATTATCAGGGGATGTCTTATTTTTGGGGAAACAGGGTACTCACATTTGCATGCTTTCAAACTGCTAGGCTGGCTGGAGCTGGGAAATAACAGGAGCTCATCCTGTCACACGGTCCTTGGGTCTCAAACCTGAGCTGTCATCTTTCCAACTGACAAGCTTGGAATTTTTTCAACTGCTGTAGTTTATAAGCGCCATTTTAGGAAACTGCGCTTTTTTTCAAAAGGGAATATTTGCATTGTTTAAGAATACTTTTTGTCTCCTCCCTGAACTATCATTTTAGTCTTATGCTTCTAGATGCAGATTACCTGCATAACCGATCGATTGGTTAAAGTATACACATTCAATTGATCAAAATTTGCATACTGAATCCAACCTCCTTTTTTCCTGCATACAAATCATACCACACATGATTGGCATACAAAAAGACCATCGCACAAAATACAGATCTCAGTCTATATAGGATCTTCCTGAAAACGTCTGTAGACACATTCAGAATGTCTTGCCTTAAATGGCCTTTGGTCTCTCCTCAATCTGCTATCTCCCAGTTGCTTCCTGCAAATCCATGCATCATTCTTTCTCTTATCAACTCTGCTCTTTCTCTTTCCTTGCCTCCTCACTTCTTCCCCATCCTTTCATGTCCTTTGTTGTTGTTAATTGCAAACTTGTGTCCCACCCATCGTGACCCCATGGACAACATTCCTCCAGGCCTTCCTGTCCTCTACCATCCTCTGGAGACCATTTAAGTTCACGCCTACTGCTTCAATGACTCCATCCAGCCACCTCGTTCTCTGCTTGTCCCGTTCTTCTTTTGCCCTTAATCTTTCCCAGCATTAGGCTCTTCTCCAGTGAGTCCTTCCTTCTCAATAGGTGGCCAAAGTATTTGAGTTTCATCTTCAGGATCTGGCCTTCTAAAGAGCAGTCAGGGTTGATCTCCTCTAGGACTGACCGGTTTGATCGCCTTGCAGTCCAAGGGACTCGCAGGAGTCTTCTCCAGCACCAGAGTTCAAAGGCCTCAATTCTTTGGCACTCAGCCTTTCTTATGGTCCAGCTTTCACAGCCATCCATTGCAACTGGGAACACCATAATCTTGATTATACACACTTTTGTTGGCAGGGTGATGTCTCTGCTTTTTAGTATGCTGTCTAGATTTGCCATAGTTTTCCTACCCAGGAGCAAGCTTCTTTTAATTTCTTGGCTGCAGTCCCCATCTGCAGTGATCTTTGAGCCCAGAAAAATAAAATCTGTCACTACCTCCATTTCTTCCCCATCTATTTGCCAGGAATTGAGAGGACCCGACGCCATGATCTTAGTTTTTTTAATGTTGAGTTTTAAGCCAACTTTTACTCCCCTTCTTCACCCGCATCAAGAGGCTCTTTAGTTCCTCATGACCTACCCAGTCCTTCAGTCCATTCATCCCATCCTACGGTCTCTGTCCTGTTTGTTCCCTTCCTTTCCTGTTCCATTATTCTCTACAGCACTTCCACACCCTTCCCTTTGTTTTGAGTATGCTGCCAATCTGCTTCATCAGACTCCATTGTCACCACACCCAACCACACCCCTGCCTTGTCATTTCCTGGCACTCTCTGGGCTGAGGGCACCAGCAGCAGATGTAGCTGATCTATCTGAAGGAACAGAATCAAAGCAGTGACCGCTTATGTCATAAGAGCTCTCTTAATGTTGAAGATGCCTGGAGATTCTGTCTTGCTTCTAAAGTTCAAAGCCTTTATTGCCATTGTACATTATGTATACAACGAAATTGGTTTAGCCTCTACTGGTGCAGCCCATACAAGAATACAAGACAACATGAATAATATAAAGAATAATCCTTATACAAATAGTTAGGGGGAAAAAAAAACTAGTCATACTTTTCCATACGTACGGCATATTCTGTGCAACATGTTTATTACTCTGGTGTATGATCGTATATCATGGTATATACATACTACACACTACACTGGCACCAGTGAAATTCATCATATTAATCTGTTGGTGGTGCTATATTGTGTTAAGGAGTCTGACAGCCCATGGGTAGAATGTCAGGTTTCGATGCTATCTCAAAATAAATGAATTTCCAAGCTGCCGATCTTTGAGGAAATTTTCTCTTTATTGAGCATAGTGATCTGTCCCTGGCTCTTTCGCGGTCAGTAATGACCTCTGCCCCCCCAAGCCCTCCCTTTCCGATCCCCAATTCTCTGCGTCTCATTGGCTATCTTCCAAGCCACTCTCCTCATCCCATCTCCGTCAGATCACAGGAATGTCCCCCCCCCCATCTCCGAGGAAACAGAATCTTCAAAGGAATTAAGTAGGTAAAAGTTCAAGCTTCTCCTCTCCTTTCAATATGTCAGCGCTGGAACGCTGACATAGAAACTGTTTTTAAACCTGTTTGTCCGGCTGGCTATACTTCTGTGTCTTCTCCCCGATGGTAAAAGTGAAAAAGAGACACTGTATAACCCAGACGTTACAACCGATGAGAAATAATGTGTGGTATTAACATCCAGAGCGCAGAAAATGACACAGATGCCTAAGATTTGATCAACAAATTGGAAAAGCATGGATATTAATGGCCAAATGAATTTTGGATTAAGCATTCATCATCCCACTGTGGCTGTGACTCCAAAATGGAATTTCTAAGTCCAATATCAACACGAAGAGAAAAAAAAGTACATTAGTTGAGTTTTAATAACCCTAGCAGAAAAAATATATCTTGATTATTATACTCATTCTTCCATTGGCTTTCATTCTATAAGACTGGCTCAAATGAAGTCCCAACAGAATTCGCCCTTGCTCCAAAAAAATATATAAAAAAAATAAAAAATAAAAAAGGTTGTATCTGGGCTCAGCACAGCTTCTTCTCCTTTCGGTCATTCAAAAAGGGGCTATATTTTTTTTTACAAGGAGGGTCTCATAATTACTGGGTTGGACATTATTGCCCAACGTCAGTGGATACAATCACACGGACTGATGGCCGTAACTACAGGTTTGTGTAATTAAAAGATGAATGGAAACGAGGTAGGGAAAGGATAAGAGGGTCAGTAGAAAAGGAAGCGCTGAACAATTCCTCTTTATCCGAGCCATAAAACAAGCAAATAAATAATCTTGACTCTGCAGCGGGAAAAAATAACCAAGCGTTCAATGGGATCTTTTGAGCCAAGCAGGGCTCCCGGCCCACAACCGCCTCCCCCCAGGGGGAAAATCCGAGGCCGCCTCTGCAGCTGTCCATCCAAGAAGGAGCCAAGAAGCACAAGAGGCCTCGGTGCCAGCAGAGAAAGCCAGAGTCGAGGGACTGGCACCTGGATCCTGCAGCTGCCAAACGCAGCCCATCTGGTGACAGGAAGCGAGTTGCAGAGGCCAAAGGAAGAGCAGGAAAGGGAAGGAAATAAAAAAGCAGAATGGAAGAGCTGGGTGGGGAGAATAAAGACTATAAATGGAGATTGAATTTGGTGACATCAATGCATCCCATGCACCAAATCCATAGCACCTAAATTAGGAACATTTCATGCTCTGTGTGGCTGGAATAAGCTGAGTAAATAGAGATAAGGAGCAAATGTGTCCCTGATTCTTAACACAGGAGAAAAGATGCAATTCCTTTACTCAACAGAAACGTACGGTGCTTGCGTTCTACAAAGGACAGTGGAAGCATTCTTCCAACACCGGCTGCTTCGGTTTTTTCAACCAAGATCAGGGGTGAAGTCACAATGCCCACTGTCCTGCCTGGAGTCTTTGTAATAGACAAATTCTACCCACACACATAAAACAGAGCACTGAGTATCCCAAAGGTGCTCAACCATGACCTGGATGACTGAGAATCTCCGTAGACATTGAGAGCACTGAGTAAGCAAAAGAACCATAAATGTGAATTCATACATAAACAAAAACACAGCTACAAACGGTGTATATTTTTTTTAAAAAAATAAGTGGAAACATGTTGAAGAAAAAGCAAGCATTATAGGAAGCCAGGAGAGATTCATCCAGGCTTAATCAAAAGTCCATGGAATGCTAGAAGGCAAAATGAATCAACCCCAAATTCTTAGTCATTGGTTGAAGTGCCATGGTTAGCAAATTGTTTTCTGCCCTTATTTATTTCCCATTGTTTTCATGTAGCTTCATCTCACGCTCTTTGAAGGACAGTCAAAACAAGTTGTTGAATACGTCCGGTTTAACAACTGGTTCGGTGAGTGCACACTTTGCGCATGTATGCATGCTTGCACGCAGTGCTGAAAATGGAGAATTTAGAAGCTCAGCTGCTTACCTTCCAAGTCAGCAATGGTAAGTAGAACAATTGGGGCGGGGGATCAGCTGTGCTGTGCAATTGAGATGAGCAACAAAGCAGGAAACAAAGGACAGAATAAAGTGGGGGCAGGTGGGCGGGGCCAACTGATCGTCGGAGCTACCGGTTCGCCTGAACTGACTGAATATCACCTCTGGTCAAAACCAGGGGTGAAATCTAGCAGGTTCTGGAGAACCAGTAGCGGAAATTTTGAGTAGTTCGGAGAACCGGCAAATACCACCTCTGGCTGGCCCCAGAGTGGGATGGGAATGGAGATTTTGCAGTATCCTTCCCCCAGGAGTGGGGTGGGAATGGTGACCTTGCAGTATCCTTTCCCTGGAATAGGGTGGGAATGGAGATTTTGCAGTATCCGTCCCCCAGGAGTGGGGAGGGAATGGAGATTTTGCAATATCCTTCCCCTGTAGGGGGGTGGGAATGGAGATTTTGCAATATCCTGCCCCAAGGAGTAGGGTGGGAATGGAGATTTTGCAGTATCCTTCCCCTGGAGAGGGGTGGGAATGGGGATTTTGCAGTATCCTTCCCCTGGAGTGGGGTGGGAATGGAGATTTTGCAATATCCTTCCCCCAGGGGTGGGGAAGGAATGGGGATTTTGCAGTATCCTTCCCCTGTCACACCCACCAAGCCAAGCCACACCACACCCACCAAGCCACATCCACAGAACCGGTAGTAAAATTTGGATTTCACCACTCGTCAAAACCCAACCAGACCATCCTTCCAATGGCACAAAGGCAATTCTTCACCGTCCATCCCCACTTAAAGTCTTCATCTGATGAATGCGTTTTAGATATATAGTTTGGGACTCATCATCGTGCTATTCTTTCCTCATTAAAGATGATGGCTGCCTTTTAAATCTTCCTTTCCAACAGAGTCCAATTCTCATTTCAGTACATTTGGCCCATCTGAGCAACTGACTCCAAAGGCCATTAAGAAGAAGCCTGATCAAGGTTTTGCAGAAAACAAAACTGCTCCTTGTTTTACTGACAATGCTAGCAGTCCCTTTCTCACTCAAGAAGAACTCATTCATAACTGTGTTGATCGAGACGGGTGGAAATCTCTTGCACAGCAACTGCCAGACCAGAGATCTTCAACCAACATTAAACCTGCTGAGATACCATAGCATCTGTGATGGCAGGAATTGCATTCTCCACACCCAGGCGGATTCTCTTCCGCAAAGCACTTCCTGTTTTGAAAGAGGGCACCTGTAACTCTGATTTTCTCAGACTGAACTTCCCAGGAAGAACAAGACAGAACCGAGACTCGGTGAAATGGGAAGAAGCAACAGATACTAGATAGCATGGAGTTAATGACTTCTCCATTGTCATTAAAGTATTAAAAGACTTTTACACCAGGGGTCCCCAATTTGCGGGCTGCAGCCCGCTATCAGGCTGTAGCAGGGATGAAATGCTCCGGTTTGGACCGGATCGCTCGATCCGGTAGCGATGGAGGCGGGTGGTTCGGAGAACCGGTAGCAAAAATCCCTCCCCCCCATTGCCCGGCTGAGCCACGCAATCATCAGAGGCTTTTTTTTATATTTTTAAAAGCATTTTTTCTATAACCTCTTTGGCCGAAAAAATGCTTTTAAAAGTAAAAAAAAAAAAAGCCTCTGATGATCCCGTGGCTCAGCTGGGATCATCAGAGGCTTTTAAAAGCATTTTTTCTACAACCTCTTCGGCCGAAGAGGTTATAGAAAAAATGTTTCTCAAAGGAAAAAAAAGCCTCTGCCGATCAGGCAAGTCAGCTGGGATCGTCAGAGGCTTTAAAAAAAAAAGCCTCTGCCAATCAGGCAAGTCAGCTGGAATCCTCAGAGGCTTTAAAAGCATTTTTTTTACAACTTCTTCAGCTTTTTCAGTAGAAAAAATGGTTTTAAAAGTTAAAAAAAAAAGTTGGCCATGCCCACTCAGTCATATTACCCCACCACCAAGCCACGCCCACAGAACTGGTAGTGACAAATTTTATATTTCACCACTGGGCTGTAGCCTATTTGGAATTGGGTCGCGTGAGTGGTTGGCCAGAGTGCATGTGTGTGCACGGGCAGCTCAACTTGTGTGAATGTTGGGCTGGCGAGCACTGGTGCATGTGTGTGCCAGCCCACCACTCACGTAGGTTGAGCTGCACGCATGCGTGCCAGTGTACTGCCATGCTGCTTGTGCTGACCCACCATTTGCACAAGGGCTGCATGCACACGCAATGCCACGCCTGCCCGCCGCTCGCACAAGGGCTTGCTGCACATGCGTGCCAGACTGCCACTTGCACAAGGGCTGCGTGTGCACGTACACACTGGCCCATTGCTCACACAGTCCAGTTCCCCTTTCTCTTCACCCCCACAAGCCAGGCTACCAAGCCACAAAGGTTGGGGACTGCTGTTTCAGACAACACACCAGCCGGGCATTTGTAGTCATCTGAAGGTATTGTCACACTTCATGACTTTAATCTTCTTTCCCAATAGAAAGGGACTTAAGAGGGTTTGATGAATCGTCTCCTATGTCCGTGTCTCCTGGCTTTCTTTTTACACTGTCTACATGCATTTACACACTATGCCAAGTGCAAGCCTAATCTCTGATGGACATACAGGGCTGAATTTTTAAAAGATGTTTCAGGGGCTTCCAAGGAACTAAACACGGTTAAATATAAAGCCTTCTGAAAATGTCAGTTCTGAAAAACTGTCAAACTAGTTATTAAGTCTGCACTACTATTAATCTTCTCATCGTTCCTATCACCCATCTCCTCCCACTTAGGACTGTATGACTGTAACCTTGTTGCTGGTATCCTTACGATTTATATTGACTGTTTCCTAATATGATTTGATTGCTTATTTGTTCCCTATGACTATCATTAAGTGTTGTACCTTATGATTCTTGACAAATTTATCTTTTCTTTTCTGTACAATGAGTGCGTATGCACCAAAGACAAATTCCTTGTGTGTCCAATCACACTTGGCCAATAAAGAATTCTATTCTATTCTATTCTATTCTATTCTATTCTATTCTATTCTATTCTAGTCTAGTCTAGTCTAGTCTAGTCTAGTCTAGTCTAGTCCAGTCCAGTCCAGTCCAGTCCAGTTCATCCCATCCTATTATTTTCTATTTTCTATTCCATTCCATTTTCTCTTTTCTCCTCTCCTCTCCTCTCCTCTCCTCTCCTCTCCTCTCCTCTCCTCTCCTCTCCTCTTCTCTATTTTCTATTCCATTCCATTTTCTATGCCATTCCATTTTCTCTCCTCTCCTCCTCTCCTCTCCTCTCCTCTCCTCTCCTCTCCTCTCCTCTCCTAAATGGCCACTATACCACTGTGTTTTCTGCAGGAGTGGCCAAAATTAAGCAGAAAAATTTCCTACATCAACTCTCTGCAACTTTGGTGGGTAGTAGCCAAGGTTCTGATGTAAACAGGAAACCTACCCTGTTTGTGGAGCTCCTTTAGGCTACCCAAAAGTCATGTTTACATTGTCTATCTCCACCAAATGATAGAATGGATTGTGTTGGACTTCAGAGTGATGATGGGGCAGACAGTGTCTCAATGTCATCTCCGTATTTAAAACAAAAGACCAAATGTGAAAAAAATTAAAATATTATAGCAAACGCTTTTTTATCTGCAAAATTCTGGCAGAAAGGGAGCTTTTCAAATGAGATGGATTTAAAATATGACATTCTCTCCCATCTCAAAATCTGAATAAGAATGATAAGAAGTAAAGCCCATCTCAAGCCAAGTTTGACTCTTAGTGCACAGATCAGTTTAGCTTAGCCAGAGCAGCTGGTGCCCGCAAAACTGTCCCTATTTGTACAAAACTCAATTGTTTTCATTCCAGAACTGCCACTGTTTCTCTAATTTGTGAGATTTGAGAACTTTGGGGCAATATCCAATCCTTTCGGGAACTGGTCCTACTGCAGACTTAGCTGCACAAAGCCAAAATATTTCGATGAATGACAAAAGCTGAAGCTTTGAATGGCGCAGGTTTCAAAGGATTTCAAGAAATGTTTCATCCCTGCTTGTCCGTATTTTGAGATCCTTTAGCCCTTTCCTTTAGCGCTTAGCAGTAACAATAGTACTTAGATTTATATAATGCTTCACAGTGCTTTACAGCACTCTCTAAGCAGTTTACAGAGTCTGCATCAGTGGGGAAAATTCAATTTTTTTTATTACCGGTTCTGTGGGTGTGGCTTGGTGGCCGTGGCAGGGGAAGGATACTGCAAAATCTCCATTCCCACCCCACTCCAGGGGAAGGATATTGCAAAATCTCCATTCCCACCCCGCAGCCAGAGGTGGTATTTGCCGGTTCTCTGAACTATTCAAAATTTCCACTACCGGTTCTCCAGAACCTGTCAGAATCTGCTGAATAGCACCCCTGGTCTGAATATTGCCCCCCAAAATCTGGGTCCTCATTTTACCGACCGTGGAAGGATGGAAGGCTAAGTCAACCTTGAGCTGGTCAGGATCAAACTCCTGGCAGTGAGCAGAAATAGCCTGCAGTACAGCATTCTAACCTCTGTGCCACCACGGCTCTTTACTCAAGGAAATACTTAAAATGTTTTCAGCAGTGGCATAGACAATTATACTCTTCTTTCTAGTACACAAATTTTTTTGTGATTGCCCAACCCCACCACAGCACCATGCTGTGATTGTTGTTAGTTACAAAGTGGTGTACAACCCATCACAACCCCATGGACAACTTCCCTCCAGGCCTTCCTGTGATAGTACTCATAAAATACTGTCAAACTCTAACAGGTTTCAACTGTTAGACTTTGACAGTATTTTATGAGTACTATCTCTAGTACTAGACTTAGTACTCTTTAGTACTACTATCGCTAGTTTAGACTTCAGCTAGCCCAGATTAAAAAAAGTGTCTTGCATACATCTACAGAATAAAATCCTGTCTTCTGATTACACAGAACCAAACCATCCATGGAATCCAGAGGTGGGTTTCAGCAGGTTCTGACCAGTTCTGGAGAACCGATAGCGGAAATTTTGAATAGTTCAGAGAACCGGTAGTAAAAATTCTGACTGGCCCCGCCCCCATCTATTCTCTGCCTCCCAAATCCCAGCTGATCGGGAGGAAATGGGGATTTTGCAGTAACCTTCCCCTGGAGTGGGGAGGGAATGGAGATTTTACAGTCTCCTTCCCCTGCCACGCCCACCAAGCCATGCCCACCAAGCCATCCCATGCCCACTGAACCAATAGTAAAATTTTTTGAAACTGATGGAATCACATAAATATTATTTTAGTACACATGGAACTCTTACTCTTTCCTAAAATGAATAGTATTGCTGAAACACAAGTTCTGATATATTTGGAAAATAAAAGAATTTCGTGTTCAAATCTGAAGCAACCTTATTTGGGAAGAAGTCTCACTGAACAAGGTATGGAATTGCAATGACTCATCATGATTATTGACAGGGGTCATTTATAAAATTGCTGTTGGAAGCTAGCACGGGCATTCTTAAGCTGAGGAATTATTGGAAGTCATTGTTTCTTGAATTATGTATCATGGAGCATCCCCAAAAAACCCCGAAAGTGTTCCCCCCCCACAATGTACTTCAGGTTCAAAATCCATCACTTTTCATTAGCCAAACCAGCACTTAGCCCAAGAGGGATGAAGGGAAGCTGGAAGCCTTCTATGCATGTATCATGGCCCGAAAATTGTCAATCTGTAGGCTCCCTTTCCTAGCAAACAAGCATGCAATGCTTTTTTTTTTAAATTGTAATGAAGCAAAACACTTCTCCATTATTACCTTGAGTTCTGATATGAAAAAAAAAAAAAAAAAAAACCGAATTGCACATTGATTTTGAGGCTAAGATCAGTTCCACTCAAAATAAGCAGCTACTGATGCAATAATTTGATTTGTCCAAAATACCAATGTTGATTTTCAGGTTGCTTCAAGGTTATTTTACACATTATACACAGGGTAGGGAACTCCAGCTACCTATACCACCATAACACTGGCAATCATGCTGGGTGAAGGAGCACACTGAAGCTACTAAAAATATAAAAATGCTGAAGATTTGGGGGAAGATAGCAAATTAGAACATGGTTCATTCACGTGTAGCTACTTTCACCGTGGCTCACACCCTGTATGAAGTAGTTCATCATTAAAGGAGAACATCTGTAACTCAGGGTTGAAAT